TAGAAAATTCCACCAGTCGTCGGTTAGACACCCCTCCTCCGGTATTCGAGAATTGTTCAAACCCGCGACCGGTGTAAGCGGTTTTATTCAATGGGCTGCCGAAGCGCCTTTTTGTTCAACCGATTTTGAGATTTCGTATCGAAGAGTCACGATAGTGAAATGACGCGATGACATTATTTATTTTTAATAATTATTATTGTGAATAAATAAAGAATAAACAAAATTTTATATTATGTTGTGTTCGTCCGACGTGCCGAGTGTACCATGGATTTGCCTTCTTTTTTATGCAATTTTACGCGGTATTTATTTTCAATAATATAGAAATGAATATACAATAATGAATATTCAATAATGAAATAGAATATACTCAAAAGCTCTTACCTGTAACAAAATTTTAATTTTGTTACAGGTAAGAGCTTTTGAGTAGAGTTTTAAAAGTGTCATCTTAACTTTGAAATTTGAATGGGCTTTTCCATAAAAATTGCCATATTTACGCAATATGCCAAGGGTTAAAGCGTATTTAGAAACACAGATGGAAATTTCGAAATTATATTCAAAGTATTACGGTCTAAATGTTGTTTGACGTAATAAAAAGCGGAGATATAATTTTCAGCTTTTTAATAAAATCTTGGCTGTTTAATGGAGTGGAATAAAATCTGATGATAAAAAAATTCGAAATTAAATTTTCGAGTAATATAAAAAGAGTATTATGGGAATGTAAACGAGAGCACTTGGGCGTATAAATAATTTTCCAATTTATACTAAGAGATTATCCACATAACAACAGCTTATTCGTTTATAATCACGTCAATACTTGTACTTGATAATTAAATTACGTTTGTAAACTCTTGGGATTCATCTTAATTAAAGTAATTCATATGTAACCATTGAAAAGTTCTCTTATAAAATATACAATTCCTTTTAATTTTAAATTAATGACGCAACTTTTTTTCTTGATTTTTGTTTCTTTTGCAAGAAATTCTATTTGGATAACTTTCGACCTCGTGCCAAGTTGTTAAATTTAATTAATGTAAATTTAATTTATTTATATATTTATTTATTTAAGTTTCGCGTACTTTTTACGCAAATTTTTCTCGCATTATTTATTTTATTTACTCCTAAATAATAAAAAAGAAAATATGTACAGTACAAGTATTTGTTTCCGTCCGTAACAAGCGTACAAAACATTTTCAGCTGGAATAAACCTCGCAGACGTTTGCTTAATGTATGTATTTGCAACTTTTCAATTATTGTAACAATTTAATTTGACTTTTTTCAATTTCCTACCTGAGCAATAACATCTTTCCCTTTTTAGAATTTCCGACGTAAACGTCTAACCCGAGTAGAATTTTAATAAGCGACACTCCAATGTTTTCTTCCTCTTTTTTCGTATAGAAATGTAATTTTAAATTTATTATTATCGAATTTTTACGTATTCCTCGCCGTCGTATTCGGTTCTTACATCGAGCGTTTGAAATAAATTAAGCTTACATTCCATATTATAGGTTCCAAATATAATCTTTCGGACGGACTCGCGGAATATGAAATTAAGTTTTTAATTATATTTAAAGCCATTGTAATGTTTTTTCCTGGTTTTAAAATCGTCGAAATCGATTATTATTATTTTCCTGTTTTTTCTTCGATAAGAAAGTTGCTCCCTCCTCTGTTTAATATAAAAATAACAAAGAAAAAATCGAAAAAATAACGGTTTATATTGATTTTAGAAGCTCTATCTTTAGAAAATGATGAGTCTGTGACCACGTTTGCGTAAAACCATTCCAAGTCACAAAGATGGCTGATACGCGAATGCCTACATTTCCTGGACTATAGAAGATTTCGGAGGAAAAAATATATATTTCGATAGCTATAAATATGATTAAAATTTTAATTTTATATTCTGAGAGTTTATCCGAATGAAAAATTTATAAATTGGGAATCGTAATATCGGATATGTATGCTCGATTACAGGTGGTCAACATATAACGGATACATTTGAAATATTATATAGAGTATATATATATATATATTATACAATGTATAGTTACCCGTTGTCGGGTGGATGGAAGGAAAACATTGCGCAGTTGTGAAGAACACTTTTTGCAGCGTCGGTATTTGTTGCTTAAAATGTATATCGATGACCTTTCTCCCATCAATAGTGGCGTGTCGCTCTCAAAACGGCTTCGATGGGCGTGTTGGTCACTCTTGTATTTTCTTCCAAAGAAACTCGATGGCCAGAGGCATTTCTAACTTTTTGAAACGACATAAATCAGTCTTTTTACATTATTCACTCGGATGAAACTGTTAAATTTTCTCTCTAGTTTTATTGCTTTTTGCATTTGCTAATGGAATAATTTAATGCCGAAATTATCTTTGCATGTTTACTATTCCTGTGAATTTAGCAAACATTTTAATCCATTTTATTTAACACGTTATCGATTTCTATACAACACATGCCATATTTTCAGACAACAGAAACCTGGCATATTTTAAAGTCTTCTTGTTAAAACTCGAGTACTTTTTCAAAGCTTTGTAAGTATTTCCCCCCTTAAACTCCGAGTTTAACGCCGATATAACCTTAGGTAGGGGAGACCGGGGCAACTTCGGCATGCGGGGCAAGTTTGTCAAGCGCTTTTTTTAAAAAACAAATTAAAAGGAGACTTTGGTTATAGGTTAGGCAGTTGAGTTTTATTGGTGGCTTGTTGAGTGTAGTGTTTTTATTGTTCTCCAACAAGCATAGTTGAATTATCAAGCAAATTTTAATTTTCGTTGAATTCCATATAATATTTTTTTTTCCATTTATATTGAATTGGCAGGTTTTGTTATAATTCCATGATAACGAAAGTTACTTTTCCTGTTAGAAGGATGTAACTTCAACTTATTCACGTGGCCAGATCGTGGCTTGGCATTCTGTTCTCAGGGTTGTACTTAATGTTTCGAAATCATGACTAGCGGGGTAAGATCGGCAACATAAAGCCACATTAGAAGCAAAGGATAAAATCAAACAGATGATAAATGAAAACATGTTTGCATTTGTTATTCATGTATATATGTCTTTGAACTTGCATTTCGTTGTAATAATATTAAATGGGTGTTGGATTTGTATTTCTTTGTTTTAATAGTGAATTCCAACTTATACATTGTTAATAACATAATTTTATATACGTGCCTATCTTGCCCCATTACTGTTGCCCCTATACCAGGGGCAACTTTAATAAAAATAATTAAAATAATTACAACTTTACAAAAAGAGAGAAGTTGCCGATCTTGCCCCTATACCCGGGGCAACTTCGTCAATTTCTCTCTTCTTGTAAAGTTGTAATTATTTTAATTATTTTTATTTCCAAACTGATTTTAACCAGTTCTATAGTAAGGTAACATTCCAATAGACAATATGCAAAGCTTTTTTTCAGTTTACAGCAGTATTTATTACACAAAATTTAAGTAAATGCCCCGGTCTTCCCTAAATTTTTGAAGTGAACAGACTGAACATTTAGTTATTTCATATTTTATTCGGGTAACGAAACACGTAAGATGTGTTTGATTTCCAAGTTCTTATTTGAACGACGCGATATTTAACTTGATTATTGAGTAATATAAACGCGTGATGAATGAGTTTCTCCGAAGTGTGTGTCATGCAATAGCGAAAGTTTGTTAGCTTTGTTGGTCGTTGGCATGACGATAATCGACAAAACACTGGTTAGATATGTCGATGCTGTTCTCTATCTTATGGCCATTAGACTTTGTTTGCCCCAGTGTGCAACCAGTGGCACTAAACTGAGTAACATCTACTGAGAATTTTGCTTACGTCTCGAACGTGCTTAAATAAAATAAAATAATTAAAAATTATTAACAGGAATGCGTACATTTATACGGTTTATATTAAATTATTATTATTGCAACTAATTTAGCACTTAAATTCAAAGTTAACTTGGTGGTGGTTGTTTTTTCGAGCGCATTTGTCGAAGGAAAGTTTTCCACTTTTATAAAATCAATTCATTAGAAATGTAGTGGTACCCGTGGGAACAAACATCTAGTTGAGATCGAAAATAAAAAGATGTTTTCGATACCAAACAGATGAGTTTTCGGGCATTATACAATACTCTATCATTATTTCAATTATATTTTAACTCATTCCAATAACGGTAATAGTATTTCTCTTGGTTGGGAGAAAAAGGAAAGACCTTTTAGTAAACCGTGTCGTATGTTAAATATCTTCAAAGTTTATGGAGGAAAAAGAGAATTAAATGTTCTGTTTTCGGTATTCTCCTATATAAATATCGATTTTTCATTCAGACTTTTTGAATTTTAAAGTCATCCATGATTATTCTAGAGATTATAAAAGGATAATGAGAAAGAAAATTCGCTTCTGTTCTTTGCTTCTGCGGAAGTAATAATTTTCGGTTGGTAGATTTTTGAACTTTAAAGCATGAAACCATTTAGATATCAAATTTTAGACGTTAGCAAAGACTTTAAAAAACAGTCATACTTACTAGCGTGCTTTTCCAACAGTTTCTACGTGCGATCACTAATATTTGAATTTTTATTGCTTCTTCCAGGTGTAAAACGCCAAATTTTCCTCATTTTAATATTTCTTTTTACCCGAATTTATTTATCAGAAACTAGAGTTCAAACATAAAATGCCTTTAAATATCGTAGCTTTCATTCAAAAAACATAAATAAATTTTATAAAAGTTTTATTAGTTTGGGTTCGAGTATAGCGATACATGCACTTTTATATGGCCGATTTCTGGCATGGATGTAACTACGAAGCAACTGACATTGCGAAAGAAAAAAATCGATTCGCGAAGAGTGGAAGAGGGGTGGAAATCACAATTTATAATCGTCCGCTACTCATAGATTTCAAAATTTGAAACGTATTGCTCAAAATATCACCCAATATGACAAGTGGTGGAGAAACAAAATCGATACATTCCATTTGAATAAAATGTTTAGAACTGAGCCCATTTGATACTGATGCACCCGTTTTTTTGATTTTTCAGTTTTCGAATAAATCGGATGTTCAGGTACGAAGATATGATCGAATTATTCAACAGATGCGACTGATATACATCCATAATTCCATCCTCTTCGTCGACAATTGTCCTCAAGTCTAAATGTCCGTTAACGATAACGCAGTTATTGGCCAACATGACCTATCTCCAGTCTCCGACTTAGGGGACCTGCCTTGGTACATACATCTGTACACAGTCATGGGGGCTGCATTGTCCATCTCCAACCTTTCACAAAGATTTATCAAATTTCTTCGCCGAGCTCTGGCGCGAAGATCAAGTAAGGATTTTATTTTTTTAACTTCTCGCTTTATTGATTAATTCTAAAAATTAAATAAGTTTTAAATTGGAATATAAGTTTGGAGCTGAATCACAGCGCCGCGTAAAGCAAAATATTCGAGAAATCTACATTGAAATATATAATAAGTTAATCTTGTTAAATAATTTAATTAACAGTCGAGTGGTAAGCATCAACAACAAATTAAATATTGCTTAACTTATAATTTCCTTGTTATTTATAATTATAAACTCGGTTTATTCAAATGGGCCTCATCGATTTATGTAAGTTTGATTCACAAAAAAAAAAAAAAGAAAATATTTATATAATTTTACTTCGTAGCGTAATGTTCTGTTTTCGGAAATCAACGATGAACTGTAAAACTTTCGTGGCAAAAAATTCGTTTGAAATCGAAATTTCTTCTTGTGTTTCTGCAGAGAGCGAACGTAAAGAAGCAAATTGCAACTATCTAATAACTTTCGGGGAGATTATCTTGCAATTTCGGTTATCTTTTTATCTAATATAGACATTGCCGTATTGGTGCCACGCGTGTCAATAGAGCGTCGTCAATAGCTTAAACACTGGCAGAAGGAGGAACAATTTTGATCGATATTAAAAGAAAGGAGCAAAAAAGAGGAAGGTTTTCATCCCCGCTGTTGACCTTAATCTTGCCACGAATAACTTTTCAAGTCTTAAGTTTCGCATTTTATTTGGTTATGCAGACATTGATTACTGCGGGGTACAATTTCGCCAGTTCATAACGCATGCATGGTGGATTTATAACACTCGATCAATCGTTCGAATTAAAGTCACGTGGATATATGCTGTATGTATAGAATGAAGAGAATAGAGAACGTTTTCTTAACACTTGTGCCACTTGGCGAAATCCATCAGAAATGGATTTTCTAATCAGTACGAAATGGAATACCAAAAACACATTGCCTGGCTGCGAAGCTAAACGAATAAATTGTCGACAGTTAAGTCGTAACCGTAATAATTTCATTAAAATATCCAAATACTCTAATAAAATGAGAACATTATTCATAATTACGAATGATCTTTTTAATTAAGATCACCTGTAAATTACTAATTAATGCGTCGTAATTGTTAAATGTTCATAAGTAATAATATTTAATAATAAATGCATAAAATTAAATAACGGCTGGAGATTATTTACGTTTCGAGTAGGAAGTTTTATTGATATTTTTCACTTCTACAAGAGAAAATTTCACATAAATTGTACTCGATTAAAATTTGTAAGGAATGAAGGCGAACCTCGAATAACTGGCGATTGTCGGCAGGTTCGACTGTATTAATATTATCAATGGAGATTCGACTCTACCCGGAGGCCAGTTTTTTTTAAATACATATAAAATAATAGTTTATTGATTAATTAACGAGTAAAGCTTTTTACAACGAGGAAATTAAAATTTACAGTGTTCTAATTGAGCATACAGAGAATATATAATTTTATCTTATAGTGTTAATGCAACAATTACAATTAAAGATTGCATTAATATCGAAATTTAAAGCCAACATTCTCGATTTTAGGGATGAAAAGATTACGCAGGACTTAAATTAATGTTCTATCTTGTAAGATGGGCATCCCGACATTCTAAATACAGTCGACCCCCCTATAACACGGGTTCCTATAGTTCGGATTCCTATATGACGGCGAAAAAATTGCGACGGTATCCGTACAAACATGGTAAAAAAACTCCTATAATTCGGTAAAATGTCATGGGGAAGCCGAACTATTTTCCGCCGTCCAGCGTCACGCTACGGAGAGTTTAGGCGGGTAAATTGAGTTTACTATCGTCTGTACAGTATGTAAATTAGGTACCGTAAGTCTAATACAGCACTGTAATTTTATACATTTCTTATGAAAGAAACGTTTTTTATTGAACGGCCATAAAAATTATTTGTATTAATGATGTCTCCAAAGTTCAACGAATTTTTCGCAGAAAAATAACCTATCAGAAATCGCGGCCGCCGTTTGGTGCGCCGCTCCGCGACGAAAACAAGCTTAAGCAATGGCGACGTCGAACGGTGCAAACTCGGTAAGTAATCTTACAATTTTTTGTTTATAGCATAGTTTATACGGATTATTCCCCCAAAAATATACGTGTTTTGGAAATGTTGAGTCGAATTAGTCTAGGAATCGATTAATTTTATGGAAGAAAACCTTTCAAACAACCGTAGTCCGTAAACTTCACACGTGTCGGGTTGTGATTGGCAAGGTCTCCTAAAACATCAATTTCATAAAAAAACGGAACATATCTACCGTGTTATAGGGGGATCGACTGTATCTTAAAGTAGCATTTATTACATAATAACCTACAGTCGCGAATCATCAAAGATTTAATTTTAAAATTTACATTAGTCGCTATGTAATATTGAGGACAGCAGAAAAATCCCGTATTATAATACATAATCTCTTTTTAAAATTGTACTATTTACTGCGTTCTACACATTATCCGTAATAATTTGCAGAATCTCTCCCGGGTTCTTTAACATCAACGAATTTCGAGAGGAAAAGACGATAAACGAAGATCCCGCGTTATCCAAAATATGTCTAATTTTCTCGGGCCACTCTTTCATCGGACGTGTCGAGACTCGTAACAAAAGTTTGCGTACGAAGTTCGTCTTTTGGAAAAGATAGCAAACTCCTCCGAAAACGAAAACGTGTTTAATCGACTATAGCTTAACTGCGGACCATCCAGAAGTCGACTTATCCAGTTAAATATGGATTTGTAATACCATAAATGAATATTCTCGATCGATTTATCAAAATTGCCACGTAGACTCCGTACTGGATAAAGATAAACTACTGCATTGGATAAAAAAGACCCGAATAATTTCACAGAATTTTACCAAACAGAGAGAGAAAGCCGACGAGGCCCTTTGGCCTTTAAAATCTTTTGTTTTAAAAAAAGAGAAAAATTAAGGAATTGCAATTAAATCTAGAAAATAAAGCAAAAAATATCGGATTCTTCCTTTTACCATTTTATTTGGAAATCATTATTTTAGATTTAGCAATATTAATTTCGAGTCTATTAAAAATGCATACAAAATTAAAAGAACCCCGCAAACAACGGCTGTTTTTTCCGTTGCCATCAGTGGTCGTTGTTTAAAGGTTTAACTGTATATAAACGCTAAAACGTATCATAAATATGCTAATGACGTATAAAAACTTAATTCTAGACGCATCGAAAGTTACTTTTTGCAAATTTAATAGATGCAAAAATAAAATGAAAACATTATTAAGAATTGTTGATTTTTTAAAAAATTTATTCGGAAGAATAAATGCCGTTTTTCAAAATTTAATTAATAAATTATATATCATTAATTGGATTATTTGTAGTCGGAAATCATCGAGTGTAGTTAGTTACGTTAATTGACACTTTTCTAGAGATTCGTTATATAAAAAATGTTGGCCTCTAATTGGCCGAAGGATATTTGAAAATTTTCTGCAACTGTACTTAATATTTACCATCGATTTTTCATTTATAATTTTGAAAAATTTGCAGAAATTAGTTGCTAATTAAGTTTGGACGTCTTAGGAGAAGATTGATTAAAATTGTTTCGGTTAACAATTTACAATATTTTGATTGTATGCGTGTTAGAACAGTAAACGTAATCGATGCGACAAACGGTAGGTTTGTGTATTCTATACGACCGCATTGTGTAAAGTAGCAGTATTTTTGCTTTTGTCGTTATCTGTCCTTATAAAACAAAAGCCGAGTCGTCGGCGTGCCATTTCTCTCGCAATTTACAAAGAATAATTGCACTTTTATGTGTTTGTTGGACTATAAATTTATTCAGATTTATACATCGGTAAAAAGGAAAATGATTATTTGATCGAAATAAATCGATGGTAAAATCCGTTACTTTAAGCTTATTAAAAATAAATGCAGTCGAAATCCTTTTGACATCTTTATAAATTTGGTTGTATCGACGTTCGTATATTCACATTTCACAGTACGAGTTTTGGCAAGTATTGCCACGCTTGGCGATAAACAAAATTTTTATTAAGTATTTTTTCTATTATTACCGTTATTTTTCTTTCGACCAGTTAAAATAAATAAAAAATATACAACCGACAAAACCGAAATAATAACAATAAAATATATTTATATTTTAAATTCATTTTCATATCAATTTTCTCCAAAGTTAAAGCTTTAAATTCAATTCCATTTTTTTGTGTTTTAAGCTTACTTTTTATTCTTTTATCTCTTATTTAATATTTATTAATTTATAGATTGAGAACAATGAGTTTATTATTTAGGTCATGGATATTATATAAAAAGAAAAACGAATAAACCGTCAAGTAAATTTACCGAGTCAAATTAATTAATATTTTCGAACGTTGCCTGCAAATACCGTCTGCTTTTTGTTCTTGGTAATACCCTCCTTTCACAGATTAAGTACTTTCATTGTTATTTTACCTTATTCAAGCTCTTTCTTTTGCAAACTTTATTATCCACTTTTGTCGTTGTTTAGCATCTTTTATAAATAATAATTAAAAAATAAGCATGAAAGGCAGCCATAATTTCATCCCCTATTTTTAAATACCTTAAAAAAGTGTAAATATTTTACACAATTACTAATCGTGTTTTCTTTTTAATTTCAATGGTTATAATGGCAATTTCTCTTTTTCGTATTCTTCTCTTCGATAAGTCGCAGTTAAACTTCGATATAGCGCCCGAGAAATTGTCACTAAATTGAATATGGCGCTAAACTGAAAGGCCCCAAATATAAAGTAACGAGGCTTTACACAGAAGTTTGAGCCTGAAAATCGTGCGATTTGATGATAATACTGTCCTCTATGATGCAAAATTCTCTGTTTAAAATTTAAGAGGAAGATTTGTTCGTGAGTATTTGTTTGTGCTATATCGAGGAGTGACTATATTTTCACTATATAATGATGTAGAAACTGATTTCTTTACTCTATGTATTCAATTTTAGCTTAATCCTAGAGAATTATTATGCATGCAAATGGT